GACGTTCTGAAACCGAAAAACGCAAAATATTTACTGGCAACAAGGCCCTGTACTCAACAGAAATTCTTGGATCAGTTTAAATAGCCCGCCTCGAAAATCATCCAAAGAAGTCCTCTCTTCAGGAGGGTTGAAAGAGGCTCTAACAGATGCTTTCCTCATCCCAGAAAACAACACTTTTAATGGATTGCTCCTACTTATTTTAAGAATTTTTCTAATGCAACAGCAATCATAACATAATCAATGCGGTGATGGTGGTTGTCATACTACCTTCATCTAGGTAAGAAGTCAAGAAAACGCTATTATTCCTGCATAACAGACATACGTAATACACAAAAACTCGAGAAAATGTCTTGGTCTGTCGCACAGCAATCAGTTCCAGAGAAAACTCACTATGAAGGTTAGAGAATAAATGAAGGTATTACCTTACTTTAACACCTATGAACCGAGCATTTCCAGTGGGTAACAGCTGGCTGTGTCTTGGCAAATGCCTGTGCAGGCGTTGATTTTTCCTCAATGAAATGTGAGTTTTGCGTCATACCGAAAAATGCAAAAAGCCTGGATTTGTGAAGCCTGTTTCTCAGTGGTATCTTCTCAGTCAAACATGTCACTATCCTCTCCATCTATTCAGTCCCAATTTCGGTCACAACAGGAGCTTATTGCACACATCAAAACGCACCACCTTTCCAGGAGAATTGAACGACGCTCGGCTGTGTTTATTTGCACGTAATGAAACTTCTAAAACATCTTGTTTTACATATTTATCCTCAATCATTTTCATTCATGCCCACCTATATCGTATAATCCTGACTTCCGTCCTCCAATGCATGCTGTTAATGTGTATCATTACACTCATTCGGGGCTATCCCCTATGGTTTTAGTGCAGCTCGTCCTTTTATTCATCGAATTTTGTTAGTTTTATCTACAGACATAACGCCTCCAATAGGTTCTTCACGTGGTTGGTGCGTAGCGTGGTAGTTAAGCTGAGTTATTCGCGCAGGTTGTGTCCACTCAGATAATCAGACCACCAGACACACACACGTCCGTAAATCTAGGCTGCTAGTGCAGGGCTAGACAGAGGTTCGTGTAATTTCATGATAGCGTCACGAGTTACTCGAAAGGTTACAATCTACTATGAAGTCTTTGTTTGAGTCCCTACCTCAGCCAGATTCTATGGGCTTTGCTGTTTGCAATTAGTTTCCATCCTTGTCACGAGGTATAAGTTGTCACCTTTTCTTCATCTGAGTTTAAAATACTCGTCGGTCACCGATTAAAAATTTTTTGTATGACTGGCCCCAACACCGGTCACGCAGTAGATGCACTGGACCAACATATGGGCCAAATCAGGGCACGAGAGGTATTATAAGGGGAGCGCAACACATGGGTGCTGTGGTAGCACGCCCGGGTGCAGGCTCACGCCGCGCCAGCTACCTGCGCCGGTCCCCGCCTCCGGTCTTTTTGTCTCTATCATGGAAACAGGCCTGGGTGGTTGAGGAAAGAGCTCGGTGAATGCTATGCAAGTCATGCATCTATACGAATTGAGGCAAAGGTTCGCATCCCAGGTATGTGCATAGATTGAGAAGA